TACAACCGTAGAGCAGACCTAGATACACCTAGTGAGCCAGACAAACCGACCTAGGTTTCACCTAAACGGATCGTCAGGGAAATTTGGCTGACGATCCGTTTAGGTGAAACCTAGGTAGGTTTGTTTGGATCACTAGGTGTATATATATATATATATATATATATATATATATATATATATATATATATATATATATATATATATATAATTGTATTTAGGCAGCAAATGTTTTAGGCATGTCCGATTAAACACATCACATGCATTATGCCTGCTAATTTTTAACAAAGCTGTTCATACTCACCAATAACCTTCTGTGTATTGATATTAATTGATGGGAGAAATGTGGTATAACTTTTTAAACCACTTTTATTTATGTTTCCCAAGTACTTTCGATCTTCTTCCAAGGATCATCTTCAGTGGTGCAAGTAGTACAAAACTAATTGAACCCCCGAACAACACACAATTTAATTTATTTAATCAGATATTATTCGTAGTTTATAATGTGAAACTATGCTCACGTCAGTCTGTTCGTCTCTCCTCCGTTGCAAACGGATAAGAATTACCAACGATAGTTGATAATTCTTATGCGTTTACATAATAGGATCGAATAGATTCGACTATCATTCGGGTTACACCCCTACCACGATTCTTGAAAAGGAGTTGCGGTTTATCCGAAATTTCCTGTTTAGGATTGGATTTCCGGTTTCTTTCCGTCTTATCATTGTTTTTCAAACCCAGTAATCCCTTTTTCTTAGACACACACACGTATATATATATATATATATATATATATATATATATATATATATATATATATATATATATATATATGATAAAAGGCTTAAACACTAATATTCCATGGTCATAATTTATTCCATTGGAATCGTAAATACAATCCAATTCATCAGACCTACAAATTCAAAAAGAAAACAGAAAAAGAAAAAACAACTCCGGAAATAAAAATAGAATTTAGCGAGAGTGTAAGTATGAGAGTGTGGGACGGATGTTAGAGCTATAGAGAGGGGTAACGGACGAGTGAAGGTGGGAGATTAAAACTTAACAGAGAGGAGTTTAGGGAGGTGAGTTGAAAATGGTTTAAGTGAGAGAAATATGAATGTTGTCGAATGAGTTCTACCTGGATTCTCTCCTCTTGAATTTTTTATTCAAAAAATATATGTCTATGCATCTATGTATATATATTTATATATTTTGTATATGTATGTGTATATTTACCACTAATATTATCATTATCTATCTATCTATCTATCTATATATATATATATATATATATATATATATATATATATATATATATATATATATATATATATATATATCCTAAAGCGCCAAGAACAACCTACCTAAACGGATCTTCAGGGTAATCAACCGAGTACTATTAGTTTGGTTTGGTTGGTTTGTTTTGTTTTAAGGATATCAACCTCCAAGGATTATTTAATGCCGACAATTTTTTTTTTAATTGCTGGTAATATTTTCATTCAAGATAAAATATTGTTGGTAAAGTTTGTTTTTTTTTTTTCAAAAAATGAATTGCTGTTAAAAGTTTTTTTTTTTTTTCAAGGTATTTCTGGTATGCATGAAAACCTATTTTTAAACTTTCATTTTCTTTTCACCACTGTTTGGGTGTCAACTATTTGCTCATAGCTGGGACCGTTGCAGGTGCTACCAACCCGGGTCAGGGTGGACTTGGGAACATCAGCAATTAAGAGGTGGTTTCGGTCTCCCCAAAACCTTCTGATCAGAGGCCCTGCAGCTTGACGTAGTTCATCGTCTTACCAAGGACGCGGATGTAGTTTATCGTATACCTAGGAAAGAGTACTATTAGTATAATCTCTCTCTCTCTCTCTCTATATATATATATATATATATATACAGTGTAACCCGGATATAAGAGAGTTGTCGGCACCGGAGAAGAAGTCTCTTATATCCGGGTTTATCTTATTGGTCTATTTTAGATACATTAACACAGGCTCTAATTTGGGACCAGAGAAAATCTCTCTTATATCCGGGTTTCTCTTATATCCGGGTCTCTTATATCCGGGTTACACTGTATATGCTCACAAATACAGGGTTGGTATAGATGGAATAAATGGTTCTTTTGTTTTTTGTTGTTTTTTGCAATCAACACCATTACTTGATAAGACAACACTAGTGTTGAAACAAAATTGCAATTTTGTAGTGATGTTATAATATGCATATGTTATAATTTTGAATTTTTATATATATATATATATATTGATACTAATTCAATCGGAGGAGATAAGTTCGCCTATCACCCGTTCCTTCCTATTTTCTTGAACAGGAGTAGAGGTTTATCTGTAATTTCCTGTTTAGGATTGGATTTCCGGTTTCTTCTTGTCTGATTATTTTTCAAACCTAGTAATCCCTTGCTTTAATGGCATTATCCCCTTTCTTGGGGTGAAATGAAAACACATTATATATATATATATATATATATATATATATATATTATATATATATATATGTATGTATATATATATATATATATATATATATATATATATATATATATATATATATATATATGACAAAGCACACAAACTGAAGGCACCTCCATTTTCGATTCTATCTCTATTTCCTATACTTTTAGTTTGTGGTGTGAAAATATGTCTCCGTCTGTCTGTTCGTCTCTCGCTCGTTGCAAACACATAAGAATTACCAACTATGGCTGCTAATTTCGCCAAGAAGTCCATTTCATAGCTGCCGGCACTTTTTGTCCTTCAGACGTCCATTTTTCCCCCTTCCGACCGCTGCTGGTCATCTGGCTTGGATTCAGTCAATCGTGGACTCATGGGTCGATGATTTGGCCCTCGTTTGATAGAACCTACTTATTACCTATCCATGGAGCTTACTCCAGTTCCACCGTCACCATGGCGGTCAGAAGAGACAAAGTTGTCCATGACAGCAAATAGAATATAAATCGGTACTAATGAACAAACTCGGAAATATTTTCATTTTCTTATTCAGTTCGCTTTCCTTCCCAGCATTCCATCGGCTCTGTTCTCCCCCACGGGCTAAGTTTTATAGCGAAAGGGGAATTATACAGTCAGGTTGAGTCGGGGAGTGGATTAAGATGGAGGAAAGAAGTTACGTTGAAAATACACTTCTTCTTCTTCTTCTTCTTCTTCTTCTTCTTCTTCTTCTTCTTCTTCTTCTTCTCTTAATATTTCCAAGTGTTTCTTCTCCACCTTCTTTGCATGTATTTCTATTACACTTTTTTTTTAATTTCTTGTTTCTCTTCTTTTTTATTTTCACCTTACGCTCTTTATTGCATAACGTTTAGCTTTCTTTCTTTCGTTCCTTCTTTATTTATTTATTTTTCTTTTCCTTCTTTCTTTCTTTCTTTTTTTTCTATTTTTTTTTTTGGTTTACGCTTTCTTTCATAATTTCTCTAATTTCTTCTTCATTCTGTCCTTCCTTCTTTTCTACTTTCTCTTTTTTTCTTTCTCATCTTTCTTTCTTTCCTTTTTTATACTTTCTTTCTGTCTGAGTTTTCTTTCATGGTTTCTCTCATTTCTCCTCCCTTTATTTATTCTACCTTTCCTTCTTTTCTACTTTCTCCGTTTCTTTCTTTTTAAGTTTTCTTTCATGGATTCTCTTTCTCCTAACTTTATTTATTCTGTCTATCCTTCTTTTCTAGTTTCTCAAATTCTTTCTATCTATTCATTCCATCTTTCTTTCTTTCTTTCTTTCTTTCTTTTTTCGGTCTTTCTTTCTCTCTTTCTGGTTTAATGTTTCTTTCATGATTTCCCTCATTTCTCCTCCATTACTTTTTATATTCTCTCCTTGCGTCTTTTCTACTTTCTCTTCTTTTCCTCTTCTTTCTTTCTTTCTTTCTCCGCTTCTTTCTTTCTTTACTATATATTTCTCTTCTTTTTATCTTCATCTTACACTCTTTTTTGCTTAATATAACAGTCAACTTTTTCACTTTTATAGTTTAACATTTTTACGTTCTACGTTCTGTCCTTTCTTTTCTACTTTCTCCCTTTCTTTCCCTTGATTCTGTTCTTTCTTTCTTTCTTTCTTTCCTTCTTTCTTTCTTTTTTTCTTTCTTTCTTTCTTTCTTTCTTTCTTTCTATTTTCTTTCTTTACTTCCATGTTTTAATCTTTCTTTCTTTTACATTTTCCTCTTTTCTTTCTTGCTTTTATTCTTCTTTCTTTCCTTTTCTTCTCCCAATCTTTATTTTCCTTCTTTCTCTCAGTCTTTTCCTCATTCCCTTTTTTCTCCTCTCGTTCTTTTTTTTCTTTCTCTGTTTTCTTTGTTTCTCTTTTTCTATTTCTGTCCTTGCTTTCAACAATTTCTCTTTCGTTTTCATTACTCACTATTCTACTCTTTTCTTTTTTTTTTTGTTGTATTCATTCGCTCTCAGACTTTCTTCATCTTCATTATTGCTACTCGCCTTCTTCTTTTACCTTCTTACCTTTTTTCTTCCTTTCTTTTAATTCTTATTTTTTATTTCTTCTTTTTTCTTCTCTTAAGTTGTGCCTTTTATATTACTTTCTTCATTTCCTTCTTATATTTTCCATACATCTTTTCATCCTTATTTTTTCTTACCATCTTTTTCTTCTTTTATTATTATTATTATTATTATTATTTACCTACTTATCTTTTTTCTTAGATTTTTCCTTTTTTTCATTTTTGTTACTTATTCTTGTTTTTTTCCTCTTCTTCTCTACAGCGTTACCTTTTATCTTACTTTCTTCTTTTCCTTCTATTCTTTTTCTTACCTTTTTCCTTTCTTTTTTAGCCGTGTTTTTTTTTTACTTTTTTCTTGTTTTCAAAACGTAACCTTTTCTTAACTTCTTTTTCTCTTCTTCTTCTTCTCTTCTTCTTCTTCTTCTTCTTCTTCTTCTCTTCTTCTTCTTCTCTTCTTCTTCTCTTCTTCTTCTTCTTCTCTTCTTCTTCTCTTCTTCTTCTTCTTCTCTTCTTCTTTTTCTTTCAGTTCTTTACCTTCTTTTAATTCTATCCCGTTTCTTTTCATATTAATGTCTCTCTTATTGCATGACGTCTTCTTATTATTATTATTCTCCTCCTTTTTCTTTTTTCTTTTCTTTTTATTATTATTATTATTATTATTATTATTATTATTATTACTGCTTGCCTTTTTCTACATTTCATTTTCTTTTTTTCTTACTTCTTTCTTCTCTTCTTTCTTGCATTTTATCGATCTTCTTTCCCTTCGTCTATTCTTCTTACCTTTTCCTGTTTTCCTCCTCCTTCTCCTCTTCCTTCTCCTCCTCTTTGTCCTCCTCCTCCTTTTTCTTCTTCTTCTTCTTCTTCTTCTTCTATTATTATTATTATTATTATTATTATTGTTGTTGTTGTTGTGGTTATTGCTTCTTATTTTTTCTTATCTTTTTTCATTATTTCTTCTTCTTTCTTATTCTCTTCGTTCTTGCATTTTATCTCATTTTCTTGTTTCCCTTCGTCTATTCTTTTTACCTCTTCCTCATGCCCTTCTTCCTCTTTCTTCTTCTTCTGCTTCTATTATTATTATTATTATTATTATTGCTGCTTGACTTTTTCTACTTAAAAATTTCTAATTTCTTCTTCTCTTCGTCTCTTCTTCTTATCTCTCATCCTCCCGTTCTTCTTCTTCTTCTTCTTCTTTCTCGATTTCCCGCTTTCTTTTAATCTTTTTCTTGTACCACGCTCGCCACCAATCTAATTTGTTTTCCCTTATCTCACCTAATAACATCTTCCCTTCGCAACTTTTTCTCCGTCACGATTATAATTCCATTCTTTCTCCGCTCCGTCTCCAACATATTAACTCCATCAGTTTACTCCTTTCCCGAATTGTTTGTTAGTTTCTTTCCTTTTTCTTCTAAATTCTTCACTCGACTCCAACATTCTAACATGAAGAAAAACGTGAATATTATTAAGTATTAATAATTTCTCTCCAATCCATAGCATTGTTCGCTTCGATGCAAATGGCGTTGATATTAAGAAATTTGCAAGATTTGACGAGAAGCCTATCTGTTCACTGCGGGGGACTCTTTTAACGCCTCGACACTAGAAGCAGACGATATTTTCAGGAAAAGAATTGAAGATTTTGATGAAGATCTTAGCATAGCAGCGAAGACGAGGACAAGGCCATAATGTGAACACTTTCCTCTGAAAATTTTTCATCACTAATGTCAGCGTTTTTATTTTCTGTATAATAGCACGTAGAAATTCTTGATCAGAAATTTTCGAAGAATTTCCAGTCATATATTCATAAACATGTTGAATTTTCCAACTCAAAAAAAAAAAAAAATAAGTGAAGTAGGCAAATTATTCCATACTTTGTGTCTTCATAGTGCGTCTTTTTATGGGAGTAGGTAGCCTTGCCTATCGCCCGTTTCACACTCCTCCCAGTCTTTCGAACAGGAGTAGAAGTTTATCCATTGTTCCTTGTTTGGGATTGGTTCCCAGTTCCTTCTAAAATCTTTTCTTGCTCTTTCACTCTTAGTAGAAACTTGCGTCTTAGTAGCATTATCGCCATGCTTGTGATGAATTGACTAAAATAATAAAGGAAGCGAGCAGGTTTATGTCTACCGGTGTGAAAAGTGGAATCGATACTAAATTTGAAATTCCAGTCTAGTTTCTTTCGTTCACTTTTGCATTAAAACCATGAATATGAATTCTGTCTATATTTCTGAGATGAGGTATTATGTACACTATTCACACTATTGTCCTAATCTTTGTTGCCATATTTATCACAACGTTTCCAGTGACAGGATCCAAATAGTATTGAGATGAGGTATTATGTACACTATTTACATTATTCGGACTATTGTCCTCATCTTTGTCGCCATATTTATTACAACATTTCGGACGTTGTACGCTCTGGCCTTCTTCAGGTGGTTGGAATGTCGAACTGAACCCTTTATTTTGCTCACTGGGGTAGACTGTTCTAGTTCCACGTACCATGTCTAATGGATGTCAGTTATTAAGTTCTCCACTGCCTTAACTGCGTATTGAACTCACACTCTTTGGTTCCTGTCACTGGATCTAACCAACGCCTTTATCCACTGTGCCATGAGTCCTTGAGGACATCCGTGTATGAATTTCTGGGTATTATAAATCCAATGTCTTCATGAAACTTTTTTTTTTACCAGAGCTCATATTCCAATTTTTGTTCTTATTATCACTTTTTCTCTGGGACTCCCTATTACTGGTTCCCATATTGTATTCATTTCTATGCTTGGTCGGTTCAGAGAAGAAGCGAGAATGAAGAATAAGTCAATGTTTGCAGCATGATAGACACGTTATTTGTGTGAGTTACCAAAGACCAAAGAGTGTGAGTTCAATACCCGTTTAAGGCAGTGGAGAATTTGGAGAGGGGAATTAACAGGAGATAACTGATAACTGACATCCATTAAACATGGCACGTGGAACTAGAACAGTGAGCGAAATAAAGGGTTTAGTTCGACATTCCAACTACCTGAAGAAGGCTGGAGCGTACAACGGCCGAAAAGTCTGTAATAAATATGGCGACAAAGATGAGGACAATAGTTCGAATAATGTTAATAGTGAATATGAATTCATCATTTCTCCTTATCCAGAAGCTAAGGATTAAATCAAAAAATAGACTTAACTCTAGCAATTAGTTTACGTGAATTATACTGAATTCAAATCCATGCAGAAAGCAACGCGAATCATTGCTGCTGTCTTTAACAGAACTCAGGACAATACAAATATTAACTAAAAGGAAGATGTTACAATCCATCATTGGCTATTGTGCTTGAGAAAAGCAGGAATCCATCACTTCCTCCAGATTCCCATAGCTGAGCTTGGGTTGCCCAATCTTCAGTTTCCAGTCTTGGTATGTGATGACTTTCCAGCCTACAACCGCTTTCCCATAGACGAAAAGTTGCAAGCCTTGTTGCATATCTCCTTCAGCTGGTGATTGCTAGTTATTTTGAGCCAAGAGATAAAAGAACTTCAATACAGGGACTTTTACCTTAACTATTTTATTAACTTCAACGTATATATCTTCTAACAATTCAGTGGGGGTCACTCTCATTCCACTGAGGATCCGTTCCAGACACGAAAGAAAATAAGAATACATTGATTGACAATTCAGAAGCAACTAACTGAAAACTCTTTCTCATGCTCGTTCAGCTAATCAAAATCGACTTCCTTGTTTTGTCTTCTATCTGATCCCTAAGGTCAACCTCAGGAAGTCTGAACAGAGATACACTGGCTCTAAAAAAAATAATAGTTTGCTAAACCAAAGCAGCGGGTTGGTGATGATTTTCCAGCCTACAACCTCTTTTCCGCGGACAAGAAGTTGTAAGCCTGGTTGAATATCTCCCTCAGCCAGTGATCGCTTGTTGCTTTGAGTCCAGAAATAAAAGAACTTTAACACAGGAAATTTTAACTCAGTGGGGTCGCTCACCCGTTGGAGACAATTTTATAGATCAGATATGGCATAATATTTTTTCTTTTTTTTTTTTATAGAGGGTGGTTTTTGAGATCCCCATTATAAAATAAACCGCTTCACAATAAAAATATACGTTTAACAGGGACCACGTAAAAAAAATCATACACGTTACTTGTACATTTATTTCCTTACTAGCAGCATGGCTCGGCGTTGCCCGTGCTTGATTAAAAAGTCATACGACTCATACAGCAATCGCTATCACTTGACTTAAAATATTTTTGCCCTTCCTTGCCTTTAAAGGAGTGCCCTTTGCCGTGCTGATGTTGCTACATGACTTACTTCTTGCCTATCTCACACTGCGAATATACTGAACATTAAATCTGTTACGAAAAAAGAACTAAACAAAATGAACACAAAACGATTAGCTTTAAAAAAGGACTCGTAACTGGAAAAACCGAATGAAAAAAAAATGTTAACCACAAATACTTTTTCCCACCCAACACAGTTCTGCAGAATCAGAATCAACGTTGAGTTTAAGCAAGAGAATGAGCCAATTGGAGTAAAGTGCCATGCAGATTTAAATTTTTCCCACTTTTTTTTGACGAATACAGCTATCGATTTTTTTGCATGCTAGCATGCTAGTTAACATTCGTGTCAGCCATCTGTTGGCTCTCACGCTGGCCAATAGAATCTTCCTGCCTATTCGTGGCAGCCAGCTATTGGCTCTCACTCTGGTCAGTAGAAAATGGCAGCAAACTACATGAAAACTGCCGTAGAAGCAGGAAAAATCGATTATTTCCACTATCGATGGGAGTTGGGAAATGCAACGTCAGTCTTGGCATTCCCGCTAACTTGGAGCATGAGCATGTAAATTTCGGTGCAGATTCGTCGAAAATTGCGGCCATGCATTCGTTACACACACACACACACACATCCTGCCTTTTATAGATAGAGATTATTTGTTTTTTTTCTTTTTTAACCTTTTTAATTAGTTGTATCCGATTTCTACTCCATCTCTTTACTTCTAACGTCTCCGCTTAAACTTTGAAACGCTTACTATTTATTTTCTTATTTTAGGTATCCCCCCCCAAACAAGGGGTTATAAAGAGTGAGAGCAAGAGTAAAGAGGGAGGGTTTAGGAAAGGATACAGAGAAGGACGGGGATAAGGATGAAGGCATCTTAAGATGTCGATGGACATTACATTTGAATATTTGAAGATTATGGCTATCAGGAATGCAAGTAAGAGGAAGGTTTGTTTTGGGGTTTTTTTTTTTCGAAAATATCAGTAGATAGATTCGACTCTTGTCTGTTTCAGACTCTGCGAGGTTTTTTGAACAGAAGTAGAGGTTTATTTATTGTTTTCATGCAATAAGAGAAATCCGGATATAAGAGACTTCTTCTCCGGTCCCGACAACTCTCTTATATCCGGGTTACACTGTAGTAGAAAATACAAAACATAACCTCGTTCACATATAAAAAAGATTAAAAATGATGAAAGTCTTAATAATAATAATAAAAAGAAAAACAGCCAGCACTTAATAATATTAACTAAGAACACGGCCAAAATGTTCTAATTGTGTTCGGAAAATGA